ATTGGTGGCTCTGTTACAATATTTTTTTTTTTTCAATCCAAAACATTAGAATAAGTGAACCATACACTGGAAATAGAATGAAAATGTTATGCACTCTTTTCCCCTTTTATGAATACACAGGAGTTTTTATTTTACTTGGATTTATTTTCTTTTCACTATTTCTGTGACTTGAGTTGCCCACACTCTAATTGAGTTGGGAGGCTAAGCGTGGTTCTCAGGGAGTTATCACCGATAGGGCAACTAAACAGGAACCATCCCCTGAGACACAGCTTTGACCTCTGGCTCTCTCCAGAGAGCTATAGTCCCAGTGGCAGACTTCATACATCTGTTCCTACAATACAGGCCTCTCTCTTGACCCAAAATTGTCTGAGTTCTGCCAAGACTTCCCATGCTTGCTTTAGGTGTTGTGCTACGCCAAGCCAATGGGCCAGTGGGGACGGTCATGTGGGTGTGTGCAGGCAATGAGCTGGAGGCAGGTCTCCTTCCCACGACTGTATGCATTCTCCATGGGATCAATGTCACTGTCAGTGGGAGAAAACTGGTTCTTGAGGGGAAGGGTGAAAAAATCTTAGATGTTACAATAGTCTGTAGCTCTCTAAGCTCCACCCTCATGACAAAATCTTATTCCTTAGTATTTAGTTTCTCTCTTTAGGGAGAATTTAAATTTAACTTAATTTTTCCCCTTAGGGTGCCATTAATGAAAAAAGGTTGAGAAATAATTCTCTAGTCAATCATCTTCCCTTTCCTGAGGGAAGGCAGTAGAGGGAGGGAGAAAGGGAGAGAGGCAGAAAGAGAGGAGGAGGAGAGAATGGGGAAAAGCCTAAGAGGACGAGGGAGGAGTCCTTAGGTAAGAAAGTGATGGCTGTGGATACCTAGGAGGAGCGGGAAGGGAAGCCGACAAGAAGCAGCGCCCCACCCTCCACCCTGGACCATGCCCAACAGGGTTGTTGTATGGTTCTCACTGTATGGGTTCAGGTGAACAGAGAAGTCTTTCTACAGCCTTATATTGTTCTTATCAAATAAGGGCTAAAGTCTAGTCTCCTGACCTGACACTTGAGACGGGCCCATTGGCCAGCATTGTCCCCGAACACCATATCCATATCTGCGCCCAGGCTGAGGCTTGCCTCAGGAGGCTGAGCCCTCTTGTAAGTGGCTTTGCCTGAAGACGCAGTTGATGTCCTTTGTCCTTGACCTTCTTTAGAGATCTAAAGTGAAGGCACCGTCTAGTACTGAGTCTCTTTCCTTTCGGCTCTCAGGTAGGCCCTGCTCCTTGTTGGTTGCTGGTTGTCATTTCATCACAAAGAAAGACAATTCCATGTGCCATAGGATCTGCTTCCCTTAAAGGCTTTCAAACACCTCTTAGAGTGAAGTTATCTATAATGCAAAATTTAAAGGCAAACAGCTACTGCAGTCCCTTGGGAAAAGGCCCAAGGAAAGGGAGAAAAAATATTTCCAAACCAGAGGCTGACTAAATTGCCCAGGGCTGGAAGAGATACAGGATCAAGTCTAATTCCAAGTCACTGCCCAGGAAACTGGCAGCCAGCGAAGCCCATCTTCTCCCCTTGCACATTCCTATGAAACGCATGCCAGAAGCAGCAATTCCAAGTCATGGTAACCCAGAGCTCTGGGCCAGCCCTCCTGCAGGCGCCCTTGGTGGGCCCCACACTCACAAATTGCCTCAGATGTCAACTTTGTACGTTATCTCTACGTGAGGGTATACAGACAATCACCAACATAAACTAACAAGATTAAAGGAACCCAAAGTCCATCATACAGATATAAACTCATGTCACGTTACCAGATCGTACTGCCTCACGGAAAACTATGAAAGAACACTTTCTATTAGCCCTGTTATTATTTTGTGAAAAGCACAATTATATTTCATGTTCTTCTATGTACGTGCAAAAATGTTAATTTGTGAAATATTGGCAGTGAAGATATACCTGTTTAAATTCTGTTTTGGTATTTTTTTCAGTTGTTTATATACTACAAAGTTCAATTAATAGAAGTCACACAAAGAAGCATGTTCTGTAAGAGCCAAGTTGCAAGGACAAAACACAACAGGTTGAGGGACCTTGCAATAATTTTGTGTATCATAGTCGATGCACATAGCTTGGGCTGAATGACTGTTACTGAATTGATTATTGGGTATTTATTCCATGTCACTGAATAGATATTTTAACCTCTTGTGGAATACTTGATAGAAAAGGTCAGGTTTTTCCTTCTATGCTAGGGATTTGGTGGGTAAACTCATAACTTCAAACTTCATTACAGAAATATTTGATAAATTATAAAAGACAGAAAAATGAAAAGGGAAGAAAACAAATGGTTTCAAGGATACGAAATTCCTGTTCAAGCTAAGAAAATATATTTTAAATTCTGGAGAGAAGGGAGTGTTTTTCTGCATGTCCACTTTAATGCGTGTTGCCCACACAGAGCATTCTATATATGTTCAACTCAACTACCCAACTGAATAAGCAATCATTGCAGAGGCAAGGTAAACAGATATTCTCCTCCAAAGATACCTCACCTCCTAAGCAAGTTAGGGAAAACACACAGATTCCAAGCATTCCAACACAAGAGCTTCATAGCATAAGCAGGATCCTGATGTACCCATAACCCAAATAGTGAGGGCTAGAGTATCATCCTACTACAGTTTTAGCAAAACAGATTGTTCCTAAGTTGTAAAAATACTATTCACACATAGCACTCACTTCATCAAGAATTATTCTAGAGAAGTAACAAGTTATATGATTCCAGAAGAGTACAGGAAAAGGTAGTGATTTATATAAGACATCATACCGAGCTGTTTTCAAAAGGTTCCAAACCTCAGACAAATGAACAATACTTTCACTAAACTACCATATAATCAAATGTAAATAATTTCTATTATATTTCACCATTCAAACAGAGAAGAAAATGTAGATCTTGAAATAAACAGATACCAATCCCTTATGAAAATTTAGTAAAGAATCTACTTAGGTTGGCTAAGATTCACTTGGCTTGATTAATAATTTGGAAACAAATTTATTATTTATAACTACATTAAAGTTTCCAAAACCAATGTCCTGAGCTGCTGGGTATAGTTTGTAGGTAGATCTCTTATCCATACATACATAATTTGAAGCGAGTTCCAATAATCTATCTGACTTGCAGGTGTATAGAACAGTGTACTGTAATAGGCCATTATTAAATTCTAAAATTTCTATTAAATTTTACATTCTAAAACTCGATTAAATTCTAAAATTTAGAGATTCAGTGAACTCCCTCATCTGGGAAGTCAGGTTTTTGACCGTATTCTATCCTCAAGGGAAATGCTTCAGAAAAACAAATGTATATACCTTCAAATCTTTTCTATAACAGTACTTAATTTTAGATATGTGTTAATAACACTGTTATAAGCAAATAAGCCATATTAACCTTCACATTTCCTTTGGTTTAGCTGCTGATTTTTGCGTATGTGGCTGACACCCTTTGGAACATCTGATGGAACAATGACTTAGACCATTTAGCATCCAAAACACTCCTTTAAATCCAGAGTTTACCTCCTTCAACTTTAAAATGCACTCTATACTCTCAGCAGTGACTCAAATATGTAACCTAATGTTTGACACTGCAATGAGCAGTAACCTTTCTCAACGCAAACCCACAAGTGTAGCACATTTCTTTCTTTCTTATGGATAAAGAAAAGTAAACATTATTCATAACAACAAAAAGACCTAGTAGAAATCTTTCCATTTGCTACAAGATGTGCATTTCCTCATTATGTACAACAGAGTCATATTTTATTCCACCGACTTCCATGTTCTGGTCAGAAAGTAAAATGCCTTTAGAAGTCACCAGGATGCAACACTAGGCATATCAAACAGGGCAGAAGCAATTTTACGACCTTCTGCCTTCAGTTGATTGTTTACATAACTTACATGTTGTAAATTAACATATATGACCTTAATTTCCAATCAAAAGGCACATATGGTCTATTACATTTCCATCATCTTCAGTTTTTTAAGAAAGAACCACTGAAAAACTTCAAAGCAATTTAAAGAATTCACATGGTGACATGTTTTTCTGCTATTTTTCTTTTCTCTATTCCATATTCCACTTTCATCTAATATGCACAAAATACCAACACGAAGCCTCTGCAGTTCAAGACGACTCTTGACATTGTGTTCACGATTCATATTGCAATACAAAAGTAAATATATGGGATGCAAAATCAGTTTGAGCTCACCCTCAAAGTTGTAAATAAAATTAGATAAACAGCATCGTGTCGTTGAATTAAATGCTGCAAATCGTGGCAAAACAAACTTACTCTGAGATTGAGATGTATGCAGGCACAATGGAAACGTGAATTTACCTTGATGGTAAGCAACCACGATGAGTTCTGAGGTAGGGTAATACATCAATTGTGGAAAAAAACGATACACCCACAGTCAGAAACACCACCATCACAGCAGACCTCACAAGGGAGGTAAATGGATGCACTGTAGACATTGACTCGCTCCTCACACGGCCAAAAGATGGCCCTTTTCTCAGGCATCAGGCCTAGCAGCCCTCTGAGCTACACGGGGTCACACTCTCTCTTTCACTGCTCCTCTAGAGAACCAGGCCAGGAGGCACCTCCTCTATCCTCAAAGACAGACCTCGCCTCTATCCAGGAAGGAGCCCAGGCCCCAGCCTTCCGCAGGACCCCAGCTAGCGCTCTCCGCAAATTCCAGCCACCGCCGCCAGGCAGCGCCACCGCCACCAGAACCCTTCCAGACTCTGTTGCCCAGGCCTGTTCTGACCCAATATTGATAGTTAAGACAGAGTAAACCATTGCGTGCCATTTCACAGGAAGAATAACTCTATCTGACTCCATCAGCTTTCCAGAAGGCACCCAGCAGGCACATTCTGTTCTGTCTTACCGGAACATCTCAAAAGAGGACAACCCTCACTGGAAGGTGGGCAACCCCTTTTCTGACCGCACACCGAGGAAAGCAACACTCCGCTTTTCATACCTTTGCAGCCACTGACGAGTTAGGTTTCTCCAGCAAGTCCCAGAGCTTCTTCCGCTTCTCCGGGCAGCAGGTGTTATCAAACTCTTCTCCCTCCCGCTCTCGCATGGTCTCGGCCTCCCGCCTCAGTTCTTCGTTCATCTGCTCCTTCTTCTGATGATACCTGGCTTGGCAGCAGGACTCCAGGTAGATCTCGTCAATCCCCCAGTAATCAAGCTCTTGGCCAAATGAGAGCGCGCACATTTCTTCCATCATATGGAGTTTGCCTGTCCGGTAGAAGTTTAAAATGGAAGTGAAGGCTCCCGGGTGCCGGTCAAAGAAATACTCGTTCTCGCTGAGGTTGTAGTCATCGCACACCTCCAGGAGGCTCTCGTGTGTGTTGCAGTCCCGGAGCTTCCCCAAGCGCGTCCGGGGCAGCCGGTCCAACGTTCTCCACAAGACTTCGTGGTTGAGGCCCCCCACGTTGATTTTAACCCTCCGCGAGCATGTCTTGCTCCTAATGATGTCCACAGGTTCTGGTGGAAGGGACAGTGTCGATCTTGAAGTCTTCCTGTTTAAGCCAGGGGGGACCTTTTCTGCCATTTTGAACTAGACAAAGCCACAGAGCCAGGCTCCTCAAAAGAATGAGCTGTGGGAGTGTCAGCTGAAGTGATAGCCCTCTGAGGCAGGCATTTCCACCAACACAACTGGAGAAAAAAGGAACAACAATCACTTGGTTACTTCCACTTCCCTAAAGCATTTCCCATTCTTTAAGATTGCTTTGTTGTTCATGCACAACCAGGAGGTCTAATAGTAATTACCGTGTATTAATGGAGATAGGAATCATTGCCCCAAGGTATGAGAAAAGAGAAAAAGACAATACAATGTGCTTCACACACAGAAGAGGCTGTGTATTCAATTTTATACATCTAGAAGGTGGTAACTCCCAAATTTATCACTGGAGACCACTTTCTCAAGCTCTGGACTAACATATCTACATGTTGGTCATCTCGTTCTAGATGAACAACCAACACCTTACACTAACCTGCCCACACCTCCCATTTGCCCAACTAGTTCCTGTTCCTTCTCCATTTCAGATTTCTGGCCCTCCACATCCCCACAGCCAGCCACCTGAGCTAAAACTCTGCGAAGTCCCAATCGATCTGTCTACATACAATTAAGAACCAGGTCTTAACCAACTGCACCTTCTAAACATTGCTTAAGTGCTCCACCACCATGACCCAGTCCCTGTTACCCTTGAACCATGATTTTGGTTCAAGCCCTCATCACCTCTTGCTTACATTTCTACAACAGCCTCTTAAATTGGATCCCAAACTCTGGTATTGTCAACCTAAAAACCTTTCTCCACATAGCTACTAGAATGATCTGCTAAGATACAAAATTGGCCCAATCCATGCTTTCAGTCCTATAAAGATTCATCATTACTGGCAGTGTAAAGAACAGTTAGCCTTATTAGGTCTGGCCCACCCCTCCACCCTCACCTCTCATCCCTCCAACATCACTATATTCCAGCAACCCCAGACTACATACATCCTTCTGTCTCAAGTTTCTGGAGCTTTCTTCATGCTGTATCCTGGAAGGGCTTCTACCTTTCCCATTTCCTTTTTACTAACTGCTGCTTGCTCTTCAAGACTGATCTCAGACATCAATCGCATCCTCCAGAAAGCCCTCCATGATATCCCTCCTCTAGGATCATGAAACCTCTGTGAATGTCACTTCTGTTTCATCATACCAATGCAATAACACCTTTCCCACAAGATGCTGGGAGCTCTTAAAGACAAAGTCTTTCATATCCTTAACACCAAGCACTTATAGATTGTGAGAGCTTATTTTCGAAATATTTTATTTATTTATTTGACAGACAGAGATCACAAGTGGGCAGAGAGGCAAGCAGGGGCGGGGGGAGAGGAAGCAGGCTCCCTGCTGAGCAGAGAGCCCCATGCGGGGCTCGATCCAAGGACCCTGAGATCATGACCTGAGCCGAAGGCAGAGGCTTAACCCATTGAGCCACTGAGGCGCCCCATGAGAGTTTAATAAATGTTAAATAATGCATCAATTCTTTGTTTTCCACAAAACAGCTGACAAAAGATCTAATAGGGCTAATGCTTATGGCCAGAAAAATGCATAAATGGGGTTATTTGAATGACCTGCCTAAAATGAATCCATGTTTAACGAGTTAAATGTGTGTATGTTTGTGTGTACATAGTATCTGTCAGAATGTGTGTGTGTGTGTGTGTACTCTTTTGCTCCACAGCTTTTTCTCCTGGGTACTAATTCTTTAAGACATAACTGCTCTAGTTAGTCCCTCTTGTTGATCTATTATTTTGATCTTCAGCAGCAAGGATCTTCTTATTTGATCTTCTCCTATGTTTTTGCAGAAAATCATGGCGCTTCAAGCAATACATCCAAAACACACTTTTAATGTAAAACACCATGTTTCATAGCCAATGCCCTTACACCAAGGGGAAAAACTCTTAGATTTAAGAGGTCCTTTAATTAGAACTCTCTCCTAAGATACACACCAATGTCTGCATGTCTCTGATTTCTCCACTCCTATAAGTTAAATTTATTTCTCCATCTGGAAGTCAAGTATCCTCTGAAATTAAAATAAGTCACATTTATGAAAAAAAATGGTGGCTGGACTATGTAAGAAATGTTTCCTATACCACCCATAAATACACTTGAATTGAGAGTTTTTTTTTTTCCAACCACATGGTGACAGAAATATGTTAGGTAAATACATACACACTGTCATCACAGATGACAAAAATACCTATTTTTACAAAAACAATGATGAGCCACAGTGATTGGGCAAATAAATTCTCTGAGCCTTAATTTCTTGCTCTGCAAAATGAGGATATCAGTATCTACAGTACCACAGCAGTATTATGATGATTCAATGAGATAGTTTATGTGAGGTGCTCACTACAGGGAGGTATATCTGAACAGAATAAGAAAATTTATATTTCTCATTTTAAGTTTGCTTTCCAGTCACAGAAAGAAAACTGAGATTAAAAGCTACCCTAGAGGGGCACCTGGGTGGCTCAGTGGGTTAAGCCTCTGCCTACGGCTCGGGTCATGAACCCAGGGTCCTGGGATCGAGCCCCACGTCGGGCTCTCTGCTCCGAGGGGAGCCTGCTTCCTCCTCTCTCTCTGCCTGCCTCTCTGCCTGCTTGTGATCTCTGTCAAATAAATAAATAAAATATTAAAAAAAAAAAAAAGCTACCCTAGTGTCTATTAAGTAAATGCTAGCAATTAACTGTTTCCCTATTCATATGTTCTGTCTTCTCCAGCAAATTTTAACTCCGGAATGTGTAGAACTGTTGGTCCCACCTTTTCTGAACCTCACAGCATGTATCTTGGATGCCACTGATGCCCATGCCCAAATTTTGTATTCGGGTGACAAGGCAATAGGTATATATACACATACACAAAATTGAGCAACAGTATCAGGATCAGGGAAAACAACTGAAAATATTAGAGATGGGGCAGTTCTGGTAGCGAATCTGATTGTTTGTTCTCCATTAAATAACTTGGTTGTAGACTCAATGACATCTCAGCAATTCACATAGATTATGTGAACAGTCCGTATGAATAATAAACAAAGGCTAATCCATTTTTAATTTGGCTACAAATACATATAAAATGAATTTACTCTTTCTGGAATATCATGTCATCTTAATGTGAAAAAGATAAGCAGTTTTTGAACTGACCAGAATATCAGATTAGAAGTTTTCTGAAAAGGGTGAGAACAAACCCCGACACTGACACAAACATCTCCTGTTCCAGTCAGTGCCAGGGCTTAGTGGGACTTGCTTTCTTATCAAAGTCATTATTAGGGGCCTGGGTGGCTCAGTGGGTTAAGCCTCTGCCTTCAGCTTGGGTCATGATCTCAGGGTCCTGGGATCGAGCCCTGCATCAGGCTCTCTGCTCAGCGGGGAGTCTGTTTCCCCTCTCCCTCTGCCTGCCTCACTGCCTACTTCTGATCTCTCTCTGTGTGTCAAATAAATAAAATCTTTTTACAAAAATCATTATTAAAAGCATAAATGCTATGTCATAGTCACCATTTGTCTCAGATAATTTCACAGATGATTTCCAGTGACTTTCCTTTTTGTACGTTGTGTGTCTCAAGTGAAGAGAGGTCATAAGACTTAAATTTCACAATATCTCTTTTACTGATCAAAACTTTCTATTATAGGAAATCCAGTGTTGACTGCAAATCCCAGAATAAAAGGCAGCTGAAATTCAATGCCCCGTCTTCAAAGCAGGGGTAGAGAAACTTAGGATGAGAGAATGTGACCCACTGATTTGATTTTCTTAAGACTTAAAGATGGTCTGCTCTGATTACTGTTACAGTGGTTGAAAGTTTTTATTTTCCTTTGGCAGAAAGTTCTGCTTGTTATCAACTCAGAGGCCCAAGTTCTGGAGCTGTTGAAGAGCTCTTAACAGTGTTGACAGAGTTCCTCAGGTGTTCAGAATAATCATGGAAAACAAATGGTTGCCTCTGGAGCCTGTAGTTGAAGTCAAGTACAGAGGACGGTACCTCAGAAATGCATTCAGCCTTTCTGTCTGGCCCCCTGCCTGTCATTCTCCCTTCTCTTTCTTCCTCTGTGGATTTCCTCTCCCACCTTCCTGTCTGTCTTGCACCATACATTGCTTACTTTTCTCCCATTGCTTTCCCTCTCTTCTGATCTTGTTCCCTAGATTTTTCTGTCCTCAGAGCCTTTGACGAACCACAAAACCAAACTATATAATTTCAGACTTATACCCACTTCAAAAAAATTTTTTTTTGAATTTTTTTTATTTATTTGACAGACAGAGATCACAAGTAGGCAGAGAGGCAGGCAGAGAGAGATGGGGAAGCAGGCTTCCCGCTGAGCAGAGAACCTGATGTGGGGCTCGATCCCAGGACCCTGAGATCATGACCTGAACCTAAGGCAGAGGCTTAACCCACTGAGCCACCCAGGCACCCCCACTTCAAAAATTTTTTGAAGGTCTTAATATGAAAACCTCTTAAGCAGACAACGCCACATCTCCCTCCAGAAGAAGAGAAAAACATCGGTACTGAGCTGCTCTGTATGGGAAGTTGTATGAGCTTGCACAGGGGGCTCTGCTCTGAGCCTCAGGACCCCTGGGTCCAGTTGGGCTGAATTTTTGCCTCCCCTCACCCTTCTGGTTGGACTTGTTTCCTCACCCATTAAATAATGGCATTTTATGCCTACAGATCATTAATATCGTATGACACTTGGCTAATCTTTCCTCCCACTACGATTCTGTGATTTTTACCACCCTCCACTCCACTCATTATCTTCACTTTAGATAAAAGTGAACATATCCTACTACCTCGGAGTCAATGAAAATTTTTTTCCTGATTTCTTTAAAACGAGGTGGTTTCCGTGTTTCCTTTCAAGAAACCCTTGAGTATTTACTTGAAACTACCTTCAGAACATCATAAAAGTTTCACTTCTATTATTTAGTGTTTAGTTAATTTTCCATATTTTGACTTTTCATTTTTTACCTATGTTCTTTTCCGCTATATTAATTTTACCTCTAACAATGAACCTGTCGGTTTCCTCTGGGTTAGGTACTACGTCTTGACACTCTTAAGAGCTCGCAAAATTTATGTTTTTAATTTTAGTAATTAAAATGGATATGATGCGCCATTTTCTCACATTTACCTTTATAA